GTAATGTAGTTTGAAATTAGGAAGTGTGATGCCTCCAGCTTTGTTCTTTTTCTCAAGATTCTTTGGCTATTTGGGGTCTTTTGTGATTCCATACAAATTTTAGGATTGCTTTTTTTCTATTTTATGGAAAATGCCATTGGAAATTTTACAGGGATTGCAATGAATCTGTAGATTGCTTTGAATAGAATGGACATTTTAACAATATGGATTCTTCCAATCCATGAACTATCTTTCCATTTATTTGTGTCGTCTTCAATTTCTTTCATCAATGTATTATACAACTTTCAGTGTATAGACAGACCTCTTGCACTCTTCATTAAATTTATTCCTAGGTATTTCATTCTTTTTGGTGCAACTGTAAATGGGATTATTTCTGTAATTTCTCTTTCTGATATTTTGTCATTAGTTTGTAGAAATGTAACTTATTTTTATATATTGACTTTGTGTCTTGCAACTTTGCTAAATTTGTTTATTCTAAGTTTTCTTTGGTGGAGTCTTTAGGGTTTTCTATATATGATATGTCATCTGTAAACAGACAGTTTTACTTCTACCTTTCTGATTTGGAGGCTTTTTAATTCTTTTTCTTGCCTAATTGCACTGGCTAGCACTGCCAGTATTATGTTGAATAAAAGTGACAGAAGTGGGCAACTTTGTCTTGTTCTGATCTTAGAGAAAAAGCTTTCAGCTTGTCACCATTGAGTCTAATGTTAGCCGTGGGTTTGTCATATATGGTCTTTATTATGTTGAAGTATGTTCCCTCTACACATTTTTTGTTCAGGGTTTTTATCGTAAATGGATGTTGAATTTTCTCAAATGCTTTTTTTTTGCATCTACTGAGATAATTATATGATTTTTATACTTAGTTTTACTAGTGTGATGTATCATATTGATTGACTTGCAAATGTTGAACCATCCTTTCATTCCTGGAATAAATCCCACTTGATTATGGTGTATGATTGTTTCCATGTACTGTTGAATTCAGTTTGTTAATAGTTTTTTTGGAGATTTTTGCATATATGTGTATCAGGGATACTGGCCTATAACTTTCTTTTCTTGTAGTGTCCTTGTCTGGTTTTGGTATCAGGGTGATGCTGGCCTCATAAATTGAGTTTGGAAGTTTTCCCTCCTCTTCCATTTTTGGAAGAGTTTAGGAAACACTGGTAGGAATTTTTCTTTAAATGTTTGGTAGAATTCACCAGGGAAGCCATCTGATCCTGGACTTTTGTTTGTTGGGAGTTTTTTTTATTAATGATTCGATCTTCTTTCTAGTAGTTGGTCTGTTCAGATTTTTCTATTTATTCATGATTCAGTCTTGGTAGGTTGTTTCTAGGAATTAATCTATTTCTCATAGATTGTCCAATTTATTAGTATATAATTGTTCATTAAAGTCTCTTGTGATCCTTTGTATTTGGGTGGTATCATTTGTAATGTCTCCTCTTTCAATTCCAATTTTATTTATTTGAGTCTTCTTTTTTTTCTTGGTTAGTCTAGCTAATGATTTGTCTATTGTTCAAAATCTTTTCTGAAAAGCAGATTTTATTTTCATTGATCTCTGCTATTGTCTTTTTAGTCTCTATGCCATTCCTTTCCAGTCTAATCTTTGTTATTCTTTCTACTAACTTTGGGTTTAGTATGTTCTTCTTTTCTAGTTCCTTGGAGTGTGAATTTGGTTATTATTTAAGATCTTTATTTTTTCTTAGTGTAGGCATTTATCACTATAAACATCCCACTTAGAACTACTTTTGCTGCATCACATACATTTTGGTATTTGTGTTTCCATTTTCATTTGCCTCAAGATACTTTTTTATTTCTCCTTTGACATGTTGGTTATTCAAGAGCATGTTGTTTAATCTCCATGTATTTGTGAATTTTACACCTCTTGTACTTTCTAGTTTCATTCAATTGTGGTTGAAAATGATGCATGATATAATTTCAGTCTTCTTAAATCCATTAAAATTTGTTTTGTGACCTAACACATGATCTACTCTGAAGAATGTTCCATGTGCACTTGAGAATAATGTGTTTTCTCCTGCTATTGAATGGAATGTTCTACATATATCTGTTATGTCCATCTGGTCTAATAATGTAGTTTTAAGGCTGATGTTCCCTTGTTGATGTTCTATCTGGATGGTCTATCCATGGTTGAAAGTGAGGTATTGAAGTCCCCTCCTATCGTTGGAACTATTTCTCCTTTCAGATCTGTTAGTGTTTGCTTGATATGTGTAGTTGTTCCCATGTTGGGTGCATAACTATTTACAAATGTTGTATTTTGAGGAGTTGATCCCTTTGTCATTATATAATGCCCTTCTATGTCTCTTGTTACAATCTGGCTTAAGGTCTACTCTATCTGATATAACTACCCCAGGCTTCTTTTGGGTTTCCATTTGCATGGAGTATCTTTTTCCATCCTTCACTTTCAGTATAGGTGTCCTTAATGCTGAAGTGAGTCTCTTATAGGCAGCATATAGTTGTTGCTGTTGTTTTTTTAACCTATTAAGTCACTCTGTCTTGATTGGCCATTTGGCCAGTTAGACATGAGATCAAGTGATTGCTCATCATGCTGCAGTGGGGTTTGGTATAGAAAACACTTTGACAGATATCCCGTACTTTAATTAAAGTCTAGCATTTCCTGTACAAAGGAAATAAATGATAATGTATGATTATGAACTTGCCTTCTTAGATAAATAAAGCCACACAATGGGAATTTTAAAAGACTTTGCTGGAACCTTGAATTATTAGTCGTCTCTTTTCTTTTGTTTCCCTGGTAATATTTGGCACATGCCCCTCCTCTCTGTGTCAGTCTCTATAGTTAGATGGGAGAATTCTATAGGTTTAAATTGGGCATGGATTTTTATTATTTTGGAGCTCTTTTTATTTTTCTGCAGCCCTGTCATTTGTAGTCCATGGATTTGGGGAGAAAGTTAGACCAAACTTCAGCACTGTCATAAAGAGCAGAGTGGGGATAGGTGAGAAGGTTGAGAAGACCTTGAATTTTGTTGTTCCCTAAGGCAATGGAGCTGGTCCTTAAGAGTATAATTTGAAAGGCTATGGAAAAGTACTTTCTCACTAATGGATGTGATCCTTTCAATTTCATCCCAGGACAGATTCCCCTTGGAAATGTGTCCCTTTCAGTGAGGATCAAAGTATGAAGATTAAAGATATAGATGGGACTAGAAAGGAATTTGGAATTTTGCCATCTTATAGAATAGGGCTTCTCAAAAGATGGGTTCTCTTAGGTCTTTTCAGGGTGTCCATATTGACATCTGCACTGATGGCACAAAAACTGTGGTGAATAAAACTACTGGTATCTGTGTTTGAATAAAGGCAGTCTCACCAAGTCACACCAGTCATCTCCATCATTACATACTTGCACCTAAGCACACACACACACATGCTTGTTTTTATGCTAGATTCACATAAGAACGTCCTTGAAGCAGTTAAATTTATTAATTTTATTAGATCTTGACCCTTAAGTATACACCTTTTTTTAAAATAGGCTCCATGCCCAGTGTGAGCCTTGAACTCATGACCTAGAGATCAAGAGTTGCATGCTCTACCAACTTAGCCAGCCAGGCACCCCTACACATCTTTTTAATATTTTGTATGATGAAATATAAAGTAAACATAAAATGAGTCTAAGGCTACTGAAGAATGATGATTGTCTCAGGGAAAGATGCTTTTGTGATTGAATTGTAAGCTGAACTAGTCGCGTTTTCATTGGAACTGAATTTTTCTTCAAAGAACAGCCAACAGATAAACTGTGGTTATTTAGACACTTTAGTGTCTGGCAAACATTTTCTCAAAAAAAAAGGGGGCGGGGATAAAGTAAGCCTACCTCTTCAAGGAAAACAGCTAACAGTATCTGTTGCCAATGATAAAATTTAAGCTTTCAAATGAAAATTAGAATTTTGGAAAACTTGTCATTATGAGCTTGGTAGCAGTTCTAGTACTTAGCAACTTTATGCATGGGATTTGTGATATTAACAAATACGGTGTTTTGACATTATATAATGAAGTATCACAATGTGGAAGACCTGAATAATTCAGTGATCCCATACTTTTTGGATGACCAATGCGTGATGTTTCAAATTCCAAAGGGTAAAAAGATCCATTCAAAATACAATATAGAACACTGGATTTTAATGTAATAGAGTATAAAAAGTGCGTTGGATGTGGTTTCAGATTCCACTCTGTAACCTTTAAGGAACGACATTTGTTGCATTTAGTGAATATCCACAAAGACTACGTAAGAATACACGCAGAAGCAAATATGAGAAAGTAGCCTTCTTCTGGTAAGCCAAATATTAAAGACACTTGCAAAAATGCAAAGTAATACCACTCTTCTTGCTAAATTGGCTTTGTTTCAGAACATATGGTTATGGTAATAAAAATATGTCATTTATGTTATATGTAATAGATTTACTGCTGTTATCTTTAAGTGAACTAATAAAAAAATTCTCCGTTTTAATTTTTAAAGTGGTAATTATCAATAGAGATAAGCCGCATAAATATGGGGGACTCCTTCATGTGTTAAGAGTGTGAACGGGTCAAAAGTTTGAGAACCACTGTTGTAGACCATACTCCTCACTTTCAAATGGGTAACTGAGGCCATGATAGGTGATGCGACTCATCCATTGAGTGGCAACTGTGACTAAATCATATCTCTGCAATCCATTGTTCTGTTTTCACTGTTTGCATAATTGTTTTCCCGTACTACACTACTACATGACTACCTGCATATGAGTAAGCAAATCAGAGACTCCAGTGAGAAAGCAGATGGGAATAGGTTCTGATGGAAGTCAGTTGACAGCCTGGGAATGGGAAGCTGGGTGGAAGGCCAAATGGCCTCTTGCAGGCAGTGGGTGCCTCCATGTGGAGGGATGTGTGTTGAGGGGAGTGAGGAGGGTACAAGTGGAGGAAGAACATGACCTCTTTCAGATTTTATGTTTCTTGTTCTTAAATACATTGAGCTTTTCTTCATCCCTTGACTTTTCCTTCAGGGAGTTTGCCCGTTGGAAAGTAAACAACTTGGCTCTGGAAAGGAGGGACTTCTTCAGTTTGCCATTGCCTCTTGCCCCAGAATTTATCCGGAACATCCGCCTCCTCGGAAGGAGACCCAACTTACAACAGGTTACTGAAAACCTGATAAAAAAGTACGGCACTCATTTCTTACTTTCTGCCACCCTTGGAGGTAAGCAACATCATGATCTTACACTAATTGGCTGTCAGATCATTGAAAATAGCTTTAAGACCCAAGGAATATAGCTTGAGTCTTCCTGGGTCTTTGTTCTTCCTTGCCTGGTATTGCCTGAGAAATATTTTTCTTTCTGGTGCCTTTGAGAGCGGTATAATCTCTTGACATCCAAATTTACCTAGAACATTGCTATTTGCTTATAAGCATCCTCCTGAGGAGGGGATGCGGGGTAAGGAGGTTGGGGGACTGACAGGCTCCTACTAAGCACTTGCCAGCAGGGGGCGCTCCTAGTTTTCTTTTGACAGAGCCTTCTCACCCAGAGGCTTTTCCACATCCTAGTATTTGCTGTGGCTCTAGTTGTCAGACCCATGGGCAAAAAAGCAAATGTCCATTGAGTCCCTGACCCCTGCTTACCTCCCTAAAGATTGGTAACTGGACAAACCAATTCTAGTGATTCTGGGCTGGATAGGGACAAGGTTGGGAGTGGGGATGGTGTACCTGTGGCCAAATCAAAAGCTCTGAAGAGGCAGGGTTCTCTCTGCCCTGGGAAGAAGAAAGCAAGATTTATTATAACATTTAGCTCACTGTCTGATGGACAAAAAGGATGTCTCCAGGGGTTCAGGCCAGCTGCCGGCATGTGGTAGGTGTTGAGTGTTTGATGGGGAAGAGGGCGGGTGAGCTTCAAGGCTTTTGCCCTTTCTGAGGGAGCAGAAATATCCATGGTGACTTCTCATAAACAACTTGAGAGAGAAAATTTTATCTCCCCCATGGAGGTAGATTGCCTGAGACTGAGATCAATAAAGGATGTTAAATGGATAAGCTGGAGGGGAGGGGATGAGCTATGGGATAAAGAATGAAGGAAAAGGAGGAGGGCCTCTCAGGCAGTGATGCCGGTCACCTTGGGCACTGTGTGATGAGACTGTTCTAAAGACAGTGATGAGGAAGAGGTCGTCAGCAGGGGCAATGGGCTCCCTCTGAGCTCTGACTGTTCTGGCCAAGGGTTTCATGTTCTAATTGGCAGGGGATTCAGAAGGCATCACCAATGGACCCATGTTGTTTGCTTTAGGAGAAGAGTCCCTAACCATTTTTGTGGACAAGCGGAAACTGAGCCGCAAGACAGAGACAGCAGGAAGTGCACCTGTAGTTGGGGGCAGTGGGAACAGCTCTGCCGTGTCCCTGGAGACTTTGCACCAGCTGGCAGCCTCCTACTTCATCGACAGAGAGAGCACTCTGAGGCGGCTGCACCATATCCAGATAGCCACGGGGGCCATCAAGGTAACAGCCTGTGGAGTACTGGGAGAGGGAGGGCAGACAGCAGAGAGAAAGCAAGGGGGAGGCTAGGGTCTTAGCCAGCTCCAAATCAGTCAGACCCGACTGATGGACGTGGGGAAGAAGCTTTCTGAGACGAGGCACAACCGTCCCTAAAAGGTGGCCCAGGTCTTCACTTGCACAGCAGATAGTCATGTAGCTTCTACTGGGAGGCAGTCTCCAGCCAACGAACTGTTGGTAGAAAGGCAGACAAGGTCCTTATTCTGCACCTGTTACGTTCTAGTGAGGGATGGGAATTTTACACAGGTAAAAGCAAAGTAATTTTAGATAAAGATAGAAAGAAAAGACAGGGTCATAAGGTATGGATTTCCTGGGGTGGGAAATGAGCAGCTAATATTAGCCAGATTGGTCTGGGGAGGGAACTTTGGGTTTAAACTTTGAGGCTGAGTCTGAATGACCTCAGGGAAGAGTATTCAGACAGCAAGAACAGTAAGTGCTAAGGCCCTGAGGCAGCAACCGGCTTGGTGCCTTGGAACACAGAGAAGACTGTTGTGACTATAGTAAGGTGAACAAGAAGACACTGGTACAATATGACGTTCAGAAGTAGACTGGAATCAGATTACGTGGCCATGAAAAGGAATTTTAATATGTCAAAGTGCAATGGAAAACACCCAGAGAGTTTTAAGCAGAGGAGTGATATGATGCCATGCATGTTAGAAAATGATCCGGTAGTTACTATAACATTAATAATCATAACCTCCATCCTATTTTCTCTACTTATATCTAGGAGAATTCTAGGAAAACTCATATTGTAATAGGGAAGAGAAGACCAATGACGATACTTGAGAATGCTGGATTATTTTATTCTAAATGTAAAGTTAAGATGGCATGTAATGGTCAGTCTTATCTTATATTCTGCTTTTATCACACCCAGAATTTAGATGGTTTTGTTCATTTGTTTGTTGGTTCAGTAGATATTTACTGAACACCTATTACGTGTCAGGTACTGCTCTAGGTACTGAGAATCCCAGAGTGAAGTATACATATAAAGTCCCTGCCCTCATGAAGCTTAAATTCTAGTGATGGAGATGTAATATAATGTCAGGTGGGATTAATGGTATGAAGAAGTGGAGCCAGGCAAGAGGATGGAGAGGGATAGGGACACCACACTTTAGGGAAGACCTGTGTGAAAAAATGCCATTTAAGCAGACATCTGAATGAAGGGAGGGAGCAAGCCACATGGGAGTGAGAGCAGGTGCAATTGCCCTGAAGCAGGAGTGTGCATGTTACGATCCAGAAACACTGCATAATGTAGCAGGAGTGCCGTTACAAGAGGGGTGAAGTAGGAGATGAGGCTGCAGAGAAAACTTTATCTCCCCCTGACGGTAGATTGCCTGAGACGGAGATCAATAAAGGATGTGAAGATCATGAGGGCATTACTGATCAGGGAAGAGAGGAGAAAGAGGGATCCTGGAGACTGATGCAGTGACTATTGCAATGGTCAAGGGAAGAAATAATGGTGGCTCGCTCAGACAAAGCTGGCTGTATAGAGGTAGTGAAAATTTGGCAGATGCCAAGATATATTTTGATGGTAGAGCCTACAGGCTTAGCTAATAAATTAGAAGAAAGGACTCAAGATTAACTGCAAGATTTTTGGCATGAGCAGCAAGATGAACAGTGATTGCATTTACTGAGAAGGACAACAGTGGGGGAGATGCCAATCTGAAAGAAGCAAATCAAGAGCTTGGTTTTAGACACAGTGAATTTGACATTCCTATTAGACATCCAAGTAGAGGTATCTAACAGGCAATTGAATATAAACACTAGGCTTCAGAGAGAAAGGTCATGACTGAAGATGTAATTTTGGCATACAAATATATACACACATGTAGGTGGTATTTAATATCATGAGAAAGGATGAGATGAGATCACTTGAGGAGTGAATGTAGCTGGTAGAGCAGCCCTAAGGCTGCCCAGCCCTAAGGCTGAGTTGTGCAGCACATCAATATTCAGAAATGGGGACTAGGAGAAGGATCCAACAGAGAAGGCTGACACCAGGCAGAAAGGTATGAAGAGAATCAAAGCCATATCACAAGACGATATGAAGCAAGTGTTTCATAGAAGAAGGAGCAGACAACTGCGTTAGATGCTGTTAAACAGTCAGAGAATGGACCTTCAATCTGGCAACATGGAGGTAACTAGCAACCTAGATAAGAGTGGTTTCAGTGTCATGACAGGTACAAAAGGCTGAGTGCAGAAGGTTCAAGAGAGAAAACAAAGCGAGGAACCAGAGGAGTAGAGACAATTCTTTAAGGGTTTTGCTGTAAAAGCAAACAGAAAAAATGGGTGATAGCTGGAGAGTGGTATAAGGTCAAGAGAGGTGGAATTTTTGTTTTTAAGATGAGAGATACTCAAGAATCTTGGCATGTTGATTGAAATGATTCAGGAGAGGGGGAGAAAATGATTCAGAAGTGACAGGAGACAACTGCAAGAGCAACTGGGCAGGCGGGAGGGGTGGTTCTTACACAGGAGCATAAACATCTCATCCTTTGTAGCAGGAGGCATTCAAATGCGCAGGACACATGTAGTAGGATGTAGACGTTGGGCGTCGGGATGCGGATGTCCCCTTCTGATTGATCCTATTTCCTTGATTACACAAGAAGCAGACTCCTTGCCTAAAAGGAAGGAGAAGGGATTACTGAGAGAAGAATGCAGGGGATGGTTTCAGAAGAATAGGAGTTAGGTATTTTAATGGACTAGATAAATGTTGTGGGTTGTTGGGCAGCACGGAGAGCCCATTTGAGACCCATGGTCGTGATTACATGGGAACAGTCAGCATAGCTGTGAGTTTTATCAGCTACACCTGGCACTTCAAGTATAGGCAGGCATGGAGGAGGTGGAGAGTTGATTGAACAGAAATGTGTGTGTGTGTGTGTGCGCGCGTGTGTGTGTACATGAAGATGAAACAAAACGGGAGTTGAGAATATACACAAAGCAGTGATTATAGTGATGGACCAAGGGATTTGGGACTGTTAAGGGACGGCAGGAAGTGAAAAGTTGGTTAGGTCAAAAGATTGGAAGTCTAAGTAGGTTTGATACTTGTTAGAGGGAAGTGACCAGGGGAAGTGCAAGTGTGTGATGATTTATGTTGAGATTGGAGAGAAAGTGCAATTAGCAAAACAAATCAGGTTCTGAACGTGGCCATGAGTGTGGGTGGCTACGACGGGGCTGGAGGACAAGATGAATGGAGAGGGGAGAAGGCTAGGGACCTGGGAGGCCAGGGTATTAAAGGGTTTTCTACATGGATGCTGAGGTCAACAGGAAAGATACAAACCTTTTGGTGATAACAAAGACAGTGGTAAGCAAGCTTAATACTGGAAATCCTTAACAACTGAATGGGACTAACAAGAGAAATAGACAGCAACAAGGAGGGGTCATGGGTGATAAAGTCCTGATGGTTCTGGCTTCAGAGGAGCCAGAGATGGCTAGAGAGGAGGGGGAGCAGTGTTCAGGATAGTTGCATCGCACCTCACTCCTCTGCCCAGCAATGTGAGGTGTGGGAACACAGCCAGCCACTGCTAGGCAAGACTGCAAGGGAACCCCTGTTTTCAGCATCTTCTGGACTGTGCTTAATGCAAAAAGATGAAGCAGACTCTTGAGAGGAGATCAGGGTTATGGAGGACCTTGCTGAAGACTGATCATGAGACCGAGAGAGCACGATGGAAGTTACCTGAAGAGGTCAGATTAAGAGAGGTGCAGTGTCTGGAGTGAGAGCCTGAGACAGGACAGTGGCTGAAGTTAACAGGGATTTAGGGTACCTTTGGGATTCTGGTCTCTGAGGCAGCTTAAAATGATGAAAGAAGACTATTAGTAACATGGAGTGGGTTTTACCAAGAAGACAGAACTCTGGGGAAGCCCCTTTCCCCCTTCAGTCCTGTAGTGAGTCGGCTGTGTCAAAGTGGGAGAAGAATTGGTCTTATCTGGAAATAAAAGGTAGGTCTGGGTCAACAACTCAAAGGTCCCATTAATGTGCCTTCCTGTCCTTTGACCTGACCAGCTTTTCACTTTCTTCCCCCCTTCATGGCCTCGTTTGCCTCACTCTTTGCCTAACTTAGACTCCATGGTCCACCACTATAATCACGGCATTGGATATATCTTCAACTTGCCCCTCACTGCCTTCTCATGTCCATGCCATCCCCTTAATTCAGGACCTCATCAACTCTTGCCCAGTTTCCTTGCATTATCTTTTTAACTAGTCTTCCCGTCTCCATTCTCAGCTTTTCTCTCTTATCCGCCCTCTCTGCTGCCTGCATGAGTGCAAAGCATCATGTACCATCCCCCCCCACCCCGTTTAAACCACTGCGCCCCAGCCACGGTGGCAGTGTGACAATGGAGAGAACATAGGGTTGAACCCAAAAGTCTTTGCTGTGCCACTGCTCATGTGGGCTGCGAGCAAGTTACCAAACTACTCTGAACCTCACTTTTCTTATCCTTAAAACTGTTCAATAATTAAAATATTTTTTACCTTGAAGGATTTCTGTAAGGATCAAATAAAAAAACAGAGAGAGTGCATGAGCCACAGCACAAATGGAGCTTGAAAAAGAATAATTCCTCATCTTAACAAAACCATAAAGCCATTGAAGATTATCCCTAATGGTCTCTTTTGTCTCTTCTCAACCCGTTTCCCCCATCAACCCTTCACTTACAATTTCTATCATGTAGGCCCATCCTGTTAGTCTGTTTAAAAAAATTTTATTATTTTGAGTGAGAGAAGGCTGGGGGGCAGGGGGAGAGAATGAATGGAGGATGGGCAGAGAAAAAGAAGAGAGAGAGAGAGAGAAAAGAACCCAAGCAGGTTCCACACTGTCAGTGCAGAGCCAGATGTGGGGCTTGACCCCACGAACTGTGAGATCACAGTTCAAAATCAAGAGTTGGACTCTCAACCAACTGAGCGGCCCAGGCATCCCACTATTAGTCTTTATTCAAAGCCCCTGCTGTTTGCTTTG